GGAACTGGTACTGCTATGTTATGAGCAGCCCTGGTTCTGGAGGGGACCGTCTGCCATTCTGCAGTGGAGGGCACTTCCCAAGGTGCTTCTTCTTTGGGTGTGTGGCCCTTCAGGGAAAGGAAATAGCTGTCAATTTCATCCTCTGCCTCCCTGATTCCTCTCAGCCTGTTAACCTCCTCCTGGAGCTCCCTCACCTGCACCTCCAAGGCCCTAAGGCGGGAACCCACAGGACAAGTGTGGGGGTCACCAATCCCTGCCCCCCCAGGCCTTGCTGGGCAACTCCCGCAGGCCAGGGCGGGGAACACCAGCCCCCCTATGGGCTGTGTCTGGGTGGAGGCCTCAGACAAGCCCGGGGTAGGCTGCGGCCCCTGGGCAGGGGCCCTGGCAGCACTCTGTGTCGACACCATCGTAGGAGTTGCTGCTTGTTTATGGCTTAGTGTGGTGCTTTGCCCTGCCCTAGCAGGAGTCTCCCTCCTGGCTCTTTCTGCTCACCCGCCAGTGCAAACACTGACAGAAATGCCGGCACGCTCTTACAGAATGCACCTTTTGCGTAATCTGTTCATGTGTCACAGCTCGGAAGCATGGCTCCCTACCGGCTCAGCTAAAAGGGATCCGGCTCAGCTGCGTCCGGTCCCTCTGCCCACTTACCTTAGGGGGGATCAGCTGCTGCTGCCTCCACTGCTGTCTCTGCTGCTGCTGCGTCCGCCTCCGCTTTGGGTCAGGTAAGGGGGAACACATGCCTGCGGGACACACGTGTGCCTGGATCCCTCCTCTCTTCCCTGCTCCTGGCTCCCAACTTGTCAACTTTAATGTACCTTTAAATATGCAGTGGATTTTTTTATTATTATTATTTATTGATCATTAACAATTAGGACGAATGGAATTTAATAAAGATCACAAAACTCTAATTGTTTGGCTATATATGAATGTGTTATTTTCAAACCAAATGCATTCGGACTGAGCAGATAGAATTCCAAGTCTTAAATGCCCATATAATCACAACCATACAAAATTTGAATGGTTTAGAATAAACAAAATGTTCTAATGCAAGCCTGAAATAATTTAGGTCATAATTTTAAGCTGTAA